GTTCCTGTGGATCGATTCATGTACGTCATGGGGCTTATGTATTCTCTGCTGTCGAAACTTGGTCGCCTCGACTACAGAGGCCAACAACCTACCTGGTTCTGTATGTAAATGAAAAGGACAAAATAAAAATAAAAAATTGAGTCAAGCTGATATGGTTTGATTTACACCTCTTGACTTGAATACTTGAATATTGTGTTTACTAAATCGAATCATGTAGTTTGACATTTTTGTTTCCTACTTTCGTCCTACCTAATCCGTCATCCTCAATCGTAATTTTCTTTATTTGCACAAAAATGTATGACTTTGTTTTATTCTAAAAACATTGATACATTATGGCTTGTTTGAACCTCAATCTTCGGGAGAGTAAATTCTATAATAGTGATTTTTTTTTTATTTTTTTGGAGAATATGTAGTTAAAAACTAAGAATTTTTATTTTTACATTTAAAATTGTTTTATTGGAAAAAATTTGTGGTTGAAAATGAGTTTTTATAGAATGGGATTCAAATAAGGGATTAGTGGAAATCTTGTGTTCACTAAATTTATCGCATTGTTTCATATTTTTCGTCCGTACTTTTGTGCTAGATAATCCGACATCCTCAACCCTAATTTTCTTTTCCTACACAAAAATATATTATTTGTGCTTCACCAGTGCCAGAGTTTGACTTTTTTTTTACTTCCAATTCCTATTTTTACCTTATTTTGTATTAGTTCTTATTATAAAGGAAGTAGTATTTCTTCGTTTACTACTTTAATATTCGTCATTTATTTTCAATGTAAGAGAAGTAGTACTTTCTCGTTTATTGATTTCATTATTTTCATATAACCACGGTATTCCTCGGCCACAAGTTAGGGCAGATTAATAAAATTTCGAAGGTACTGTCCTCTTTTAATTAAAAAAAATAAAAAAAATTAAGAGATTAATTATACTTTCAGCAAAGGAAAGTAGCATATAATTTGTGACAAACAAAAAATAAAAGCAAGCGTATATTTGTGGTACGAAGATAGTATTACACTTAGGTGAAAATCTCGCTAAATCGTATCATGTTGTTTTATATTTAACATTTCCTAATTTTTCCGCTACATAATCCGACATCTCAATCCTATTTTCTTTACCCACACAAATAGATATGCTCGACCAAGTCAACAGATTTAGACCAAGTTTTCTTTGCATTATTTTTTTCTTGGAAAATGTCAAAGCTGCTAAAAAAAAACTACTTTAAATTAATGC